ACGGCGAGACCAGCTCGGACTTGCAAGGAAGAAGCACCCTCCAGCAGGCCACGCACACCTCACACCCATTATGCGGAGCTCACGATGATGACAAGGCACAGCTCACGGCGACCAGAGAGGGACCTTTTGCGGGGCGACCAGCGAAGGAGATGGCGTGTGTCACATCCAATAATATGGCAATTAGGAATAAGAAATATTCCTAAATAATTAAGGGTCAAAAATGACAAGGAGAAATAGAAGAATTGTGGTGGAAAATAATTATTATAATTTTCCAAGCCAATTATGAAAAGTTTGACTAATTAAGGAAAATTGGTCAAGAATAATTATGGGAAAATATTTTCAAGTCTCAGAAAATTAAGAAAAAATAAGGACAATGTTCCTTGAGAATTATATGGGATTATAAAATTGGTTTTATGACCAAATTGCCCTTAGAGAAATTACAAAGGAATTTAAGGGTGATTTAAGCTAGTTTAAGGTCTTTTATTTGGAAAATTCCAATAAATATTTTAAGAAGAATAAAATCCCAAGAAAATTCCTATGATATCCCAAGGAATTAGAAGAAATTATGGAATTAAAATAAGACCCTCAAGTGTCCAAGATTTTTCCCAATTCCTTTGAAAAGAGGAAAAATCACTAAAGAGAAGGAAAATAGTTTTCCTTTTTATTTAATTATTGGGAAATTAAAATTGAGACAAAGAGGACAATTTGGGAAGATAAAAATGAGGAGAATAATTTATGAATCTGACAGAAAATAATTACAGAGGTCAAAGCACTGTAATTATAGAAAAGAAGTTAAACCCGGAGTAAAAGTGCATCGATAAAGTGTTAATCAGAGTCTTGCACTTTACTTGGCCCACAAGTTGCCGCTTGTCAAGCCTTCAATGGATGATAATTAAAGCTTTCCAAGTGTCAATCTACCAATGGAGAGGATCTTGACTTTGGAATTTAATTACATTATGATTTAAGTTAATTAAGAGAGAGGATTAAAACTAAGTAGGCTTATGACACTTGGCATGACATTAATGATGGCTGGTGGGATATTTTTGGTTCATTAATAGCTCTTCCTTCCCCCTCAATCTGATTATGGTTCCACCAAAGTGAGAGCAAGAGAGAAAAGAGAGAGTTTCAAGTGGAAATCAAGGGAAAGCCATCAACTTTGATCAACCAACCAAGCTTCAAGGTTAGTTTTTGTTCTTAAGTTGTTCTCCACCTTGTTTGCTTGAGTTGTATGGTTGAAAATCATAGTTTCCCTTCTCTTTTGATGCTGGCCGAAACATATATATTGTAGAGGAGGAAGTTTTATGATTCAATCTTGCTAGAACACTTCAAAGCATGTTAGATCCTAGTGGTTACAAGTGGTTGTAAGTTGATTTTAAAGTGTTTTCTTTGCCATGTTGCTTGAGTTTCATTTCGGTCAAAGCTAGATCTGGACCCTAGGATGAGTTTTTCAAAGTTTTGAGGCTTCCATTGTGTTCAAAATGAAAAATGGTGTAGGGTAAACCTAAAGAACAAGTGTTGGAAGCCATAGAATCAAAGTTCAAATTTTTGGTTAAGGAACCCTAATGGTTCGGCCAAGCTAAAACTGAAAGAAGGAAGTTTATTTTGTTAAATCTAAGTAGATATTTGGAATCTATATGAAAAATCATATAGGAATGAGCCAAGAGGAAATTTTTAGGGTTTATGGAAACCAACTCTAAAAATTCAAGAAACAAAGATGGAAGCTTTAAGGGGTTTAGGAGTTTCTTGAGTTACGTTATTGATTCTTATGTGGAACGGTTAATGATTCTTGCTGCCATTTTTTTGGATTGCCATGTTAGGATTTGGCATTTGTGGAAGCAAGATAGGAGAACAAGAAAATCAAAGAGCATTGGATTAAGGTATTAAGATTTAATTGACATTAATATTAAGTGTTACATTGATTGCTATGCAATTTCATGTGCTATTATGTGGTTGAACTAAATGATGATGATGATGATGATTGTGTAGCTATACTCCTTGTTTTATGTGCCTTGGTTATTGCATGTTAAAGTGCTACATGTATGAGGTAAAGTAGTTCCCTATTAATGGCAAAATGTTGAAATGCTTGTAATTGATGCATGTAATGTTTTGGTTGATTGATCTTGCTACTGGGATTTCTCAAAATCTCATCCCCCAAATACAATGTAACATTTTAGGGCCTGAAAATTCCAAGAGCAAGCTACAGATTGGAGGCTAAATTATGGTAATACACCATAAAAATTCGTGGACATTTGGTTATGTATAAATATCAATGGTTGGTGCTGTAATTCCTACGCAGGACGTTAGTTTAGAGCCACGTTTTATTTAGTTTCTGAATGAATTTCTACACAAAATTTAGTATGGTTAGAGTTGACGTCGTGAGCTTCAAATTGATAGGCAGCACGTCAAAAATGGACAACTACACGATTTTTAATGACTTTTCAAAAATTAAGGTTTAGAATCTGGAAAAAGGATTTTTGCTAAATGGACAGAGGTAAATTTCACAAAAACCTAACGCTTTTTCAAATGGAATTGGTTCATAAGCTTATTTTTCCTTGAAATAGCATTCAAAGATATTTTTATAGAATTTTGAATCACTCCATTTTGATTTTTCTAGATTAAGTTATGAATTTTTTTAAGTTGGGCCAGAAAACTGGATTTTTACCTGATGAACAGTAAAAATCTGAAAATCAGCGTTTTTCATGAATTTTTGAGCCCAAGACCATCCAATGTGGTCTAAAATGGTTTTAATTAAACCATAAGTGAATCCAATAGTAAGGTGTGATAGCATGCGACTCTTGGGTGAAAAAGAAATGAAAATGATGCTTGTGAGAGGAAAAGGCAAATGGGAGAGGAAAAAAGGACCTGACATCGCAGAACGGCTCTTCTGAATTTTTTTTTTCCTGCCAAAAGCTCTTCTAATTTAAGTCATAAGCTCCTTCTTGTAGCTTATGGCAATTGGGTGTTTAGATAGGCTTTTTTTAACATAAGCCCAATTAGTTTTAAGCTCTGCCAAACAAGTCCGATTTGCAACCCAACTTATTTTAAAATTTAAGCTCATTTTAAGCTGTGCAAACAGACCCCTTATATGTTTAAACAGTTTCAAAGAATTATTTTTAAATGATATCCACAAAACAAATTAATCATCAAGTATATTCAAAGACTCATTTTTAAACCATATCCATAAAATAAATTGATCAGCAAATATATGTATTGATAGCATACCTAGAACACAACACATTAACAAAACAAATATCAGTACCAAGTATATATAACACCACATATATATAAGGCTTCAACACAAGGAAGAAAAAAAAAGAAGAAATGTGTAGCAGAATGAAGATTCAAAAAAAATCCTCTTTCTTTTTTTTTTAAAAATATATATTACCAAAAAAAATTAACACAACATCAAGATCAGCGTGGCTCTGATGCCAAGACATAAATAAAAAATAAATACTAGGTCCAATCCATGTTTGGATCTAGGTTATTCTTTCAGAACTCCACGAGTTGATCTATCAACTTTATGTAGTGTTTAGACTACTAGAGTCTAAACTTAAGTGGCATAGCAAAGCGCCACACAAGAGAGAATATTAAAGAGAGAGAGAGAGAGAGTAGGAAAACTCAACTACTAGGGTGAGTTAAATTGATAGATAGGGCCTCTATTTATAACTTTGACCAAGGGTGTTTTGGGAAGGCAAAGTATCCACTAAATCCATCATTTTGAATTCAAATTCAAATATTCAAATATCTCTTAATTGATAAGATTATAAATTTGAATTTAAATCCAAAATCAACCTTAATTAATTCTAAATATATATCTCTAATATATATATTTAATCTGTATAATATAATTTAATTTAACTTATATCATAACCGATTAGATTTGATTCAATATGTTTGATTGAGTCAAAATATTATAATCTTGCTTGGATATTTAATTAGAATATTCGCTTAATATCCAATCAAATAATCTGGCCCATCAATGGCAGATCCAAGCCCAAAAATCGAACAATGATAAAACCTACCAATCTCCCTCTCCAACTTCATGTGACTTCTTGGGAAGTCTGCCAAACTAAGATTCTATATTCTTAGTCTTGGTAAAGTAAGTTTCGGTCATCTGCCATCTGAGCTTGCTTCTACTTGTTTAAGTTTCAGTCTTGGTGATTTTAGCTCTCTTCTCTCACTTCTTGTTTAAAACAGAGAGGTTTCTCTTGGCTAAAAACACAGCCTCTTGTTCCCTTAATCGCTGCATTGCATCTCAAGTTCAGAGGGAGAGGATCTCCACAAAGAAGCATAGAAACCAATGATTCATTCTTCCAAATATAAATATCTCTTGTTTTCCATCACTTACTAATTAATCTTCTTCAGGTCACACATTAATGATCTTGCCTTTTTTTTATGGCCTTACTACCACAGCTGGTTTCACATAATCTGAAGGCATACGTCGCACTACTGTTCATTTACACAAACTTATTGTTCCTCTATATATGTATGAAGTCCTTACTATAGTAGCACGGTTACACACACACACACACACACATATTATACGATTCTAGATTCAGACTTTATGTAATGCTGTTAGATAGTGTTTGCCTTTTCTGTTAGATCTTTGTTAGGCCTCTTAATATGAGAGAACAATGGATGTTCTGTATTTGTGAGAAATTATTGTTCAATTTTGTGCATGTTAATCTTACTGTTTTATATATGTAGAGCTTTTTTCTTAGGGCTGGAATGTCAAAATAAATTTACTTGTGGATTACGAAGTGCTAAATTTCCTTAATACTGAAGCTTGAACCAAAGATGGAAAGATAGCCTTGATTCAGAGCAGGAATCATGAAACTAAAGATAAATATTTAACTTCATAGGATCAACAACATAAAAAGGAAAACAAATTGATCTCTGATTGATCTTCAAAAAGAAATTTCCTCTACAAATTATCAGCTTTGGTTTGTTTACTTTTTTCTCAATAAACATATAAGACAAAAACAGATAACATCCAGACCACAAAAAATACAATAATTAAATAACTTTAGCCTTCACAAGGCAATTAATCAAGAATTGAAGCAACTATGGCTATGAAATAATTCCACGACGACTATTTATATTCTGTCGCAAAAGTTTTGTAGCCACATACACACATATAAAGAGAGCGTGTGAGATTATTGATGTAAAGATGAGTTTGGTCATTAGATGATTGTTAAGGAGGAATTTAGCTGAATTAAGCGAATGAGATCTGAGTCAGGCAAGTTGAGAGGAGGGAGTGAGAAAGAGCTTTCCGTGGAACTTCCTCTTCTAATTTCTTGCATAGTAAGTAACGCGGCCACGGTGTTCCTGAAGATTCCTTCTCCGGCCACTGTGATGGATTCTCTAGCCTCATGTGCTCTTTCCACTTCTTGTTCCTCTACTGGTAATATTAATTCGATCATTCCCTCACATTCTTTCACCAGATCTGATATCAGTTCTGTCATGAAGAATGGTTGCTCTAACACTTTCTGAATGAACAAGAAGCGTAATAGCCCACCTGTTCTCTTATCATATTTCTTCAAAATCTTAGCGAGCCCTGCTAGATGATCAATGAATAAGTTTTCTACTAATTATTGTGAAAGTAAACATTCTGGAAGGTCCACATGAAAGTAAATGCTACCTTTGATCCTAAATATAAGAGCTAGTTAACTAATTTGAGGAGATTAAGGATACTAATTAAGTTAGTTATTTATAATAAGTATGCGTTGTCTTTCCTAAAATATCATTGCTAATGAAGTGAATTGGCTAGAATTACTACTCCTCCGGTCCTTAATATAGTACCCAATTATTGAGTTGGTTTTGGTCCCAAATATAAGACCCATTTCTCATATTTATCAATTTTCTCTAAATTACCCTATGGATACTCTCTCCGATCAAGTAAAAGAGAGAGAGGGGGTATTAAGAAAGATGATTATGGTGTTTTAAGAAAAATATGTCACATTTGTTATAATGAACTAACTTACCTAATTTCTTTAATCTAATCAAATTAGTTAAATGGGTTTTATATTAAGGACCGGAGGACTATTATTACAAGGATTACCATAAAAATGAACAAAAATGAGAGACAAAGTAGATTGGGGTCTTATATTTAAGACCAAAACAAAAATCAAATAAAGTCTTATATTAATGATCGGAAGTAGTATGATTCAGGAAATAACAAATTAAAAAAGAAAGCAAAAAAGAGAGAACACCTGTGTAATTAATGTTGCTGTAGTTTATCAGGAGAACCATTGCACCATGAAAATCAACAATATCCTTTCTGATTTTTGTCATCTCCTCCTTGCGATCCATTTCTGAAGGATGAAACCTAGAGGGTCCCCATAATTCATTTACCCTCTTTATCCTCATTCTTAATTCCTGCACCCAAACATGTCATTTCCCAAACTCATCATTTTTTTAATTCACTTTATTCCATTCACTTGGCTTAATCCTAAACAGTCGTAATCACTTATTTAATATTTCAAATTATATTTGAGACTAAAATATACATTATGAATAATTTAAGGCGGCATTTAGACTAATGGGATTTGAATTTTAGATTTAAAATACTTTGGATAATATAAAAAACACATACTAATACGAATGACGTAATCCGCTTGTCCACATGTATGGGTAATATTGAAAGAGGATTGTTGAGATTTCAAATAATTAGGGTAAATTAGGTATTCTGAAATTACGACGGAGTTACAATAAGAATTAAATCTGGATTTGATCCAAAACTATAAAATTGTATATATTCAAGTAATAAATTTGGTCCGAATCCAAATGCTTACAAATCAAAAAACATTACGTAATTTTATTTAAACTGTCTAAATTACTAATTTTTATGGTTCCATAAGAACTATTAATTTTTTTTCACTTTGAGGTTAATTAAAAGTTTATTTCTATTTCTTAGCTCAATAATTTTAAAAATATATATCAAATTTTTTTAAAAAAAGGTAACAATATAAATCATCCGAATTATATTATATTATCATTATATCAAATCACTCCATTTATTTATAACATTAACATTAATATTAATATTAAAATCTCTAAATTGACAGATAAATGTGGGACTCACATAAATTGACTTCCATTCTCAAATCACCGGCTCAACCAGACACGGCTAAGGTGGAACATCTCCCCCGTGATTTCTGTCTCCAAGAGACATTCTTGTACGCGCACATGCTATTTTTATTTTAACCATGATGGTTTCTGCATTTTTAAGGTGTCCGCCCCAATTAAAATTTTTTATTGAGTATATTATAAATTTTATTGTGAAAATTATTATTTTATAAAAGAAGACACCATTTAGTTTTAATTTACAGGGGTAGTAAGTAGCCATATCCCGTAACTAGGAGAAGATAAGTGGAGGGTGGTAAGTAGCCATATCCCATAACGAGAAGAAGATAAGTTTAAATTTTGAGAAATGCAACCGTTTACGCTTTAAGTTTCAAAACGATACCCTTTATCCAATTAAAAAAAGTTTTAATTTTTCTTAAGATAATTTTTTAAATGTATTTATATTGTAATCCTATGCTTTTCGAGGTCACAAAAATCCTATAATTTATGTCATATGAATATATTTTATGAATATATTTTTTAAAAATAAGAGTTAATTCTACTATGTAGAAAAAAATATTTTCAAGGGCAAAAAGTAAAAACCAATTTAAGAACAAGTTCTTCTTGCAAATTTAATGAAAACTAAAATTTTAAGATTAGCAAAAAAAAAAAATTTTCAAGGGCGAAAAGTAAAAACCAATAATGCTAAAAGGAAGAAAACTTATATTGTAAGATTAGTTTTACTTTCTGTGATTTTTTTTTTTACCGAATTACTTTCTGTGATGATTAAAACTAAAATTTTCTATCACCAAAAAAAAAACTAATATTTTCTAAGGAAAATTATAAAAATCAAAATTAGTTGTGGTAAATGATGAATCACAGGCTGAAATGACCGAAAAACTCAGCCCTGTTTGAAAAAAATAAAGTAGATAGCGATGGATTACCTTATGCCGGATAATGAAATCCTCCTCTTGTTCCATGTAAAACGTATTGAACTTATCGATCTCATTGTTCAAAAAGTGGACGAACTCGGACTCCGCCTTGCCGTTCATCGGCGATCCGTTCAACAGTGACGTCGGCCCCGACGACAGCAGCCGTACCAGCTGCTTCAGTTCCTTGTACGACAAGTACTTGTCTCTCCAACTCGGCAGCGTTGCATGAATCTGCTGCTTCAGCCACTTCCCGAACTTCATGTCTGGCAATCGGAAGAGATCAAAACGACGACGGAAAGGGAAACGCCGTTTGAAGAAGACGATGAGGGATAGTGAGGATAATAGTAAGAGTGAGAAAGAGAGGGTGGGGGATTTATGAACGAAGGTTTGCTGGAATATTAAAGGGCATATGCTTAGCGTGTGATGGTGTGGCAGCTAGAAATGGCATAACCGTGTCGTTGAAACATGAGCATTCTTTAAGGCATATTCGGTTATTAATATTAATACTATATTACTGCCTTACATAATTACATTAAAATAGATGGTGGGGCAAAGAAAAGACCTAAGGCATTGAAATAATAAGCTTTTCTTTTCCTCCATGGCAAAAACAAAAATCTTTTTGATATCTGTGCATATGAATGCATAATATATTAAAGATAAATATATTTAGGAAATTATTGAAAATACCTTATTACGAAATTTATTGCGCAAAGGCCATAAAAACCTTATTTGTTCAACACGGGCAAATGTTGTGGAAATAATATTTTTCATTCTACGTATAATTGAAGACAGTCCCACTGAACATAAGTTGTACTTTGGTCCTTAAACAAATTTCATGTGCCTTTTGATAATAAATTTTGCAATAAGGGAGTTTTTTTATAGCAATTTTTCAAGAATATAAATCTTAAAAAATTAAAATTATCAATACCTTTTACTTTTATTTTTGAATAAAGGCTATTTTTTCGTGAAATCCATCGGGTTTTCGAAAGTGACGTTGATTTTTTCATAACACATAATGAATCGAGTCAAATTACACAAATACAAAGTTTTTTTTCCTCAGCAAATGATTAATTTTTTTAATTATAATTTGCACCAAATCATCTAAGCACAAGATTTGTTGTGGTAATTAAGGAAGCAAATTGGAGGGCTTTTAAGGTTACCTGCCGGTGAGAGTGGAAGAAGCTTCTAAATGGGAGATGGTGATAAGGATGCATATTGATCTTATAGATATTAATGTTACGTGAGTGTCATGTTTGATTGTAGGGTTTAATTTTTTTTTTTTTAAACATAGAACTTTTAAATAAACTCAGTCCACTGGAAATGAATAAATAATAATTAATAGTCTTATAATAAACTACTAATAAATAATTAATTATTTTTATTAATTAGCTATGGCATTCGAAATAATATTGATAATCAACTTTACATAAAAAGAATATTGACGATAAATGGGCATTTTTTTCTATTAATTAGTTAAGCTTTAGAAGTTCATCTTTTCCGATATATCTAAAAAAAAAGAAGTTCATAGGATAAGTTTCATAATTAAAAATTACTTATAAAAATATTTTCACATAACAACGCAACAAAAGGTCCTTGTAATTATCCAAAATTTTGTTGCCATATTCACTTTTTTCGACCAAAAATTATTATGAAAACTAACTTTCACTTTTTTTCACAGTGAGCAAGCCACCATGTTATGGAAGATTATATTGGAAGCTCCGATGGCAATTCAGCACAAAAACATGCATGCCATTCTTTGTTATGAAAAATGGGGGAAATTTGACTATATACCATTTTGAACCATTAATGATTTACATTAGGGAAAACTGGTAAAGAGTACTAGTTTAAAAGTTTTATTGACTAAAGAGACCTAAATTTAAATAGGTGCAACTATCTTTTGCGCGTGCAATTTTTCTTCAGTTACGTGCAATATAGCTTTAGTCATGTGCAAATGACTTTTATTTTGACAAATATTGCACATAATTGAAAATAAATTGCAGACAACTAAAAAAATTACACCCTTAAAAGATATTTGCATTCGCCAAGTTTAGTTTCTTTTGGTTAATAAAATTTTAAATAGGTACCAAAAAATTGCGCTCGCAAAGAATATTTTTATTTTTATTTTTATTGATTCATATATTCTATCCTTTCTCACAAGAAAGCCCCGGACACACTATGTACTAAATATCACCAGGTTTGGACTCATAACCTCTCTTGTTTAAACATGACTAAACCTTTCAATATAAATAATACTACCTTCAATTATTAATATAAAATTAAATTAAATTTAAAATTCAAACTGGATTCTATATTAAAAATCGGATGTATTATTATTATAGGTCATAACATAAAAACTAGATAAAAAAGTGTATTGAATCCTAAATATGATATCTTAATTCATTTTGTTTTATAAATTTATAATTTTTTAAAATATAATTATTAATTACACATAAAAAAGGGATTTTCTAAAAAGAAGAGTTATAATGTATATAATTAGAAAGCATATTAAAAAATCAACACATATTTTTTTATAAATAATTTTTTTAACTAATTTTTTTAATATTTTTAAATTAGTTATTAAATTTTTAAATTAAAAATTAACTTATTTATTAGACTTCACGCCATTACCTAAGCGCAAGAAATTTTCTCGCGCGAAAAGTGGAGTTTTGAAAAGTCAAAGGTGGGACCCTGTTATGCTGCGATGGAGAAGGGAAGGACCGCCTTGCGGCATAAAAAAGGCCTGAAGGGAAAGGTAAGAGTTGGGAAGGGATCATTCCGAGGAATCTGCTTAGAATCGTCTCTGGAAATGGAAAAGTAGTCGCCTTGGGACTTATAAAAATAAAAAGCATATTAAAGTGAGCGTGATTTGAGGGACTTTTCTGATCCTGAATGCCTTGTGGAAAGGAACCAAATGAGGAATATGTCGGTTTTAAACTATGGCCTCTCGGGAAATCCATATTTAATTCTTTCCCTGTGGGCCACCACTAGCACAACTTTCTGGGGCCATTGATGGTCATTTGCGCCGCCAGTTGTCATCCAATCAAATGGCGTGTCATTCTCAAGGAATCTAAGCAATATGACGTGTTTTGTGTTTTATGCTTCCCCCCTCTTTTTATAAGCAATCTTAAATTAATCATGCAGACAAAAAAGTTAAATGAAATTGATTAAAAATAATAAATGTATAAAAATTAAAGAATAAAAAATTATTATAATAAAAATAATTATGAAAGACAGAACATACATGATAGAGAGAATATAATCTTCGAAATATTTATTATCTATGTTTTGGGAAACAAAAGAATAAATACATTAACTATTAAGACAAGTCTTTAATAGGAAAAAAAATAGAAAATTTGCTATAAAAATTTAAGATAACTTGCAAATGTTGTAACACTCTTATCCTCAAACATTATCAACTCGTTAACAATTACAATATCGTCATAAAATTATTACTATGGTAGAAAAGAGAATCAGTTATATAAGCTATCATAGTAAAAGAGAAAACATGTTAACATTTTTAAAACTGACAGTTAAACTGCAAGCAGAAACCCAAACAGATTGCATGCAACCAAAGATCATTCATTCATTAATCAATCAATTCATTCTATTGGGCCTTCGAGTCTCAGGCTCAGATAACAAAAGATATCATATATAAGCCCATCCAACTGTCCACATAATCATAAATTCAGAATTTTATACAATAATAAGAATGGCCTCCAATCAACAAAAATAAGGAGATGACACTTTCACCAGTTTACAATAAGTCCATGCAATCAAAATATTTCAAAAAGACCCTAAATGTGGCAATATACATTGGTCATACATATACCATAGGCTAGAGGCATTACAGCTTAACCAAGCTCAGGCCTCCGCGTCCCTTCCTGAAAATGTACGCCTAGAACCTTCACCTGAAAACATTGTAAACCACGGGGTGAGACAAACATCTTAGTAACCAACCTTTCCAATTCAAGGTACAAACTAAATAGATACTTGTGAGGTGTCAAGTGGGACAGTTAACAAGTAATATTATAAACGATAGCCACAACAAATCATGCAAATGCAATGATACAATTCCATCAACCATATCCCTCACTCTGGGGAATTTTCAAGGGTCGAACCTAGCTTAACCCTCACTATGGAGGACGTAAGGAGCCATAAAAGGCCTATTCCTCACTCTGAGGGACATAAGAAGCCAAAAGACCTATCCCTCACTATAAGGGACGTAAAGAGCCAACCATCATGCATTAATGGAGGTCTTACCACGTGGTAGTAACAACCAAATCTCTCACCAATTCCCAATTCATGCATCATGCTCAAACCATAATCAAGGAGTAAATATTTATTTCACGATTAACTTCTTTCAGTGGCATATCTTTCACAAGTTCAGGATTCATTCAATATCAATTGAAACCCCACAAGAAGGTTTTCCTTTTTGATATACAACATACAATTCGAACACAATTTGTTACTCGGAGCACAAAACATAAATCCACTCATAATACCACAAAAGCATGTACAAAGGATTGGAAAGTGGTTGCCTTTCGCTTGAGCAAAGAATAACAAAAACACCACGATGCCCCATGCACCAACCAATACTCACAATAAGTCTACACAAGCACACAAACACACAACCACCATGTATTAGCTTTCAAACTAATAAAATGGTTAACACAACACTTAGGGACTCAAAATTCCTAGCTTCAATCAAAACTCTACCCAACTCAAAAGGGTATAACCATCAAGGCAACACCCCAAGGTCATAAAAATCCATTAAAACATTAATTCGTTTCCAAACGTCAATTTGGGATTCAAACCTCAAAGACTCACTATAGGAATTCAACACCCAAACATCCAATTAGAACAAATTCAAGTCATACTAACATTCTAGATCGATTAAACATCCAATTTAACCTTCCCTAGCATAACCCAATTCATAAAACTCAATTTCAACCACTACATCATCATCCTTAATCATAAACCTCCATTTTCACAAACCCCAAATTCTCAAAACTTCCAAATCTCCAAATTCAAGAAAACTATACCGATTAAATACTTAGACTAGCCCATAACAATCATTTAAACTCAAAACAATCGGTCAAAAACCTCAATTTCATCAGAAACTAGAGAACTCTAGGGTTTCACCATAAATCCTCAAAAATTCCAAGAAAGAAAGTAGATTAGAGGTTAGATTCACTTACTTGAGGTATTAGACCCTTAGAGACACCTTCTCTAAGCTAAAACACCGAAACCCTAATAGAGCCTCTCTCTCTTCCTTCAGATTTTCTAAATTTTACATATTAGATCCCTCCTCCGAATTTAAAGACACGACCTTTTCGTCACGGCGAACCCAGTAATTGGTCGCAGCTAACTAATCCCGAGAGGGATTTTCTAACCAAGACCCAAGTTCATCACAGCCAAAGACCTATTTCGTCACGGTGATAACTTTTTCTCAAGAGGAACTCTTGCTCACCTAACACCTTTCATTGCGACTCTCCCTTAACTTAGTCGCGACGAAAACCTATTCCCGAAAGGAAGCTCTCCCAAAACTTCATCGCGGCGAACAAATCTTGAGAGGGATTTGTTCACCTGCTCCTCCAACTCCCTTTGATCCCAAACTAGACACCAAGATTCAAGTTTGAACACTAATTATCCTAAAAAATCAGGGTTAAAGGGCTATTAAAACTCAGGACGTTACAATCCTCCCCAACTAAGGAATTTTGTCCCCAAAATTCAAGCAATCACACAGTACACAACACACAAACAAACACAAAACACTTACTAAGAAAACAAAAGAGGGTACTCGCGCCGCATCCGTTCTTCCATCTCCCACGTGGCATCACCTAGACTCATGCCCTTCCAAAACACCTTCACCAACCGAATGGTCTTATTTCTCAACTGTTTGTCTTTCACATCAAAGATTCTTTTTGGTTCTGCCTGGTAAGTTAGGTTTTCATGCAACTCCACCTCTTCTGGTTCTAGGATGTGAGACGGATCGGGATGGTATTTCTTGAGTTGGGACACATGGAACACGTTGTGCACATTGGACAAGTACGGGGGTAAAGCAACCTGATAGGCTACTTCTACAATTCTCTCTAGAATTTCAAAGGGTCTAAGAAATCTAGGAGATGACTTCTTTGCTTTGATGGACCTCCAAATGCCAGTAGTCGACGTGACCCTCAAAAATACATAGTCACCCTCACAAAATTCCAACGGTCTCCTCCTCCTATCGGTATAACTTTTTTGCCAACTTTGGGCAGTCAACAACTTCTGTTTGATGACCTTAATCTTCTCCGTGGTGGCATCTACCAACTCTGGTCCTAAAACCGTTCTCTTACTCAGTTCCATCCAACAAAGAGGCAATCGACACTTCCGGCCGTAGAGTGCTTCATAAGGGGCCATCTGAATGCTGGTATGGTAGCTATTGTTGGCAGCAAACTCAGCCAAAGGTAGGTTATCAATCCAACTCCCCTTGATTTCAATGGCACAAGCCCTCAATATATCCTCCAATGTCTGAATTGTTCACTCGGTCTGTCTATTGGTTTGCGGGTGATATGCCGTACTGAACTTCAACTTAGTACCCAAAGCCGCATTTACCGCTTTCTAAAAGCGCGGATCTCGGTCTGAAACTATGCTCTATGGAACCCCATGGAGCCAGACGATTTCATCCATACAACTTGGCTTCCTCTCCAAAGTATAATTGACCTTATATGGTAGAAAGTGAGCAGATTTCGTCAATCTGTCCATAAGCACCCATAGAGCGTCATAACCTTCGGGTGTCCTTGGTAAACCCACTATGAAATCTATGGAGATACTGCCCCATTTCCATTGAGGGATTTCTAACCCTAGCAACAAACCACCAGGCTTTTGATGCTCTATCTTGACTTTCTGACAAGTCAAACATTAGAGTACAAAGTCAGTCATTTCCTTCTTAATGTTAGGCCACCAGTACTGCTGCTTTAAGTCATGGTACATCTTGGTGGCACTAGGGTGGATGGCATAACAGCTGCAGTGAGCCTCCTCTAGGATAGTTCTCTTAATTTCCTCATCATGGGGGGCATAAATCCGGTTCTTATAGATTAGGATGCCCATATCTCCAAACTCATAGTCCTGCACTGGGCCATTCTCCAATTCAACCCGAATTCTTGCCAGTTGTTCATCCTCCCTTTGATCCCAAACTAGACACCAAGATTTAAGTTTAAACATCAATTATCCTCAAAAATCAAGGTTAAAGGGCTATCAAAACTCAGGACGTTACAAATGTTACTTATATGATGGAGAGAATATAATCTTCAGAACATTTATTATCTAGAAAATGATGTTTTGGTAAGGGAAGAAAAATAAACACATTAACTATTAAAATAAGTCTTTAATAGGGGCAAAATGTGAAATTTGCTATAAAAATTTAAGACAACTTACAAATGTTGTTTATATTTAGGGAAAAGATGAAGATGGTGGTTGTTGCCTATAAAAAAGGATGGAGGGAGTATAAGAAAATACTTAGGCAACTTACTGATATTATTATATCAAGTTCTCCAATCACAAATAATCATGTCGTGCCCGAATTTTGGTCATCCAGAGTAAAAAGGAAAGAGAGAGGAGTCGCCACCAAAATTTTTAAACGTTAATTTTGGAACCTACAAAAAATGTGGTTGATCGCCCTGTCATGTAAGCTCTCAAATTAATTAACTAAATCAACCCTATATAGCATAAAAGTCAACCTAGGTCGTCTCTCTCTATTAGGAGCTTTGTTAAAATTTTGAAAACCTTTTTAATTAAGAAAAACATGATGTAAAGAAGGAAGGAATATGAAAGAAAATTGATTGATTTTTTAAGAAAATAAATTGAGAAAAAAAAACAGTAAGTAAAAGAAAGCGAAAGGAACGAAGACTTTACCAAAATGATGCACTTCCCAAAGACGTTGATGAGTGGCTATCAAGGTTCAAAAGGATGAGGAGTTTGTATAAAAACAATTACTAAGTCAAAAGGAAAAACCCTAGATAACATCTAAGTCGTGATTAATTAATTAATAATTATACCTAGAGAACTAGCATATAATCCCCTTTCAATTAATCATTTAAAAACCACTTAGTTGTGAATTCAATTAAATGATTATATCTTGTTCCTAAAGAGAGTTATCTATCGAAAACCCTAGAGCATGAACTACTTGTGCAAATCAAAATAGAAATCTATAAAGATAAACACTCATAGAATCATGAGGAAACTGAAAATATATTCATTAAAAGCTCCAAAATATAATTGTTCAACTGAAACACAAATCAAATATCAGTCCACAAAAGAAATAAAAATCCTAACCTAGGAAATTCATAAACGCAATGTACTAGTGGATTGAAATAAGAAAACTAACAAACTCCCTAATATAAGCAGGAACTCAAGCCACATCATCTTGTTCTCAGGAACAAAGAGGACTAGCCACACATATGGCTAGATGACACCATAATGATAAAAAGAAAATAATGCAAAGAAGACAGTGAAACAACTGGACACAAGAGGAAGCCAAGTGTATGCTTGTGCTTGTGTAGTGTAGATGGCTTCATTCTTCTCCAAGGCTCCCTTGATCTCCTTTTATAGTTTTTGAATCTGTCCTAATTGGATGAGGAAACCCTTAAGTCTTTTAACTTGATCTTTTATCTTCTTTTATTTTGTAATCTTGATAGAACTTTGAATTTGAATTCTCTTTATTTGGTGTGATCTTCATGGCAACCATAGTAAAAGAGATTTTGAATTAAAATGATATTGGATAAAAGGATAATATCTCAAATTTGAATAAGAATATGGTGGTAGGATGAATTAGGGTTAGGGTTTAGAAAAAGGATAAAAATGATAATGTGGATATTTGGAAAATTAAATGGATAATGGAATATGAATAAAATATTTATTCAAATTCAAAATATGATAAGGGAATTATCCACAAAAGAAATTAATTTTTCAAGCTCTTTAATTTATGGTGGAAGATAAGAGATATTCTGGCTAGATATTTTGGATAATTTCCAATTAGATAATTAGAAAATCCTCTTGTAATGCCACGTGGCTACCACAAATGTAGTTTTCCAAGGGGTCCATGTTTTGCTTGACAGAATACTCCCTGGAATCAAAGTAGAGAAACCTTTCAAAAGGGAAATTATAAAAATATAATAAAAAAATGCACTTTTAAGCAATTAATTCATATAATTTCCTTAAATCAAAATATGAGTATCTATTGCATTTTAAACCCTTCAAACATTATAGAATCCCTTAATTATACATAAAAATATATTATAAAATAGGGATACATCAGTGGTCTACAAAACTAGATAGGGTTTAAGAGTCAATTGTGTGTGGGGAAGGTGTTAGGCACCCCACAACACCGGTTCAAGAAAACAGTTACCCTAAGTCAACTACTAAAATAATATGACATTTTTATCATGTTTCACTTGCCCTAAAAAAATTAAAAACAAAGAAAAATTTTTTATTTATAAAGAGAAAAAAATTATTTACAAAGCTGGATTTGACTTAGGATAAAAACCTAGGGCCTACGTACCCTTTAGAAAGATCAAAGCCCAAGTAGTTCGAGGGATAAAAATACGTGTTACTTGGTTGGTATTTTTTAAAAAATATTTATTCAATTAAAAAAGATGTTTTTTGGTGGGTTGGTATTTTTTAAATATATGACACAATTTTTGTATTTTTATTTAGAAAATAAATTTTTGAAAAGAAATTTTGGATTAGCTCCCTACAGAGGTTCTTATAACCTTATACAGGAGAATAATTGTTTGAGCCTGCGGAGGTTCTAAAAACCTCACATAGCTTTAAAAGACATTTTGAGATTATATGCATATTTAAAAAATATTTTCTATTTTATTATTTATTTATAAACATGGAGCCAAAATTATTTTCTTTCTTTTTATTTCAAGAAAAAAATTTGCACAACCACATTGGTATTTCTACGAGGACTCCCATAATCTCACACAGTTTATTAATGAATCTAGATACCTGCAAAGGTTCTGAAAACCTTACACGATATAGATTTAAAAAAGAAGGGCTTTTGAAAACCAAAGGAAAGAACATCCAAAATAATCCATCATAAAGCTCAAGTTAAACATAATAAATAGGAATACAAATTCAAACTTGATGCTTCACTTATCAATTGGCGAAAAAAAATACATCATATAATAAGCCAATAATTAAAAAAAAACTATATACACATACTAGCAAAATGACATGGACAAAAATAAAATAAATAAAATAAAATAAAGATAAAAAAAGAAGAAAGTAGATATCAAGGTAAGTATATATAGAGAATAATAGATAAGGGCATATTTTGAACAAATCAAAGAGAGGGGAGTAGCGAAAATTATCTGAAATCATGTTTGATTCAACCTTCTAGTCATCACTGTTCAAGCTCACAAATGTGATAATAATCACAAGAACATAGGCTTTTCTTAAGTTGAAAAAAAAAAAAGATGAACAATAGACTTTCTCTAGTTAAGCTTCCTCTCTTTTCCCAATCCAACTCACTATTATAAAATAAAATGATAGAAAAGCTTTCTACCTTGCCTCCTTTTTCATTGGAAATTTCTGAGTGTCCTCCTCCAACCCTTACTCTCTAATTTATAGACTCAACCTTGCCTCCTTTTATTGCCATTTATTGTAAGAGGGATATTCTTTTTTTTTTTTTTTTTGATTTGCCACATAGTGAATTTCTCAAACTTAGTTTTCAAGAAAGAATCAAGGAGGATATTAATCTTTTATTAGTCTTTTATTTCTTTTTTATTTGCTTTATTTGCATTTGATATTTCTTATGGGGCCTGGACAAAATTGGTGTTCACAGACCATGTGTCCTAATTTTATTTATATATGGGTTTATAATTAAATATTATTAAATGATAATATATCAAAAATATTACACATAGTTATATGTAATTAGAGAATTTGACATAGTGAATATAAAAAACTTAACATAAGTATTATGTTTTTATATATTACTTTGTGAGGGAAATAAGGTTGACAACTGATAATAAAGCTTTAACCTAACATACACTTCGATTAATTTTGTTATACGTATCTAAATAAAATCAAAATTAGCTATATTAAATCTTATATATAAATGCAACATGACAGTTGTGAATATAATAGTTTTTATTTTTATGTTAAGAATAAATAAATTTTATTTTATTATTTCATTTTTAGAAAACTTTTGAGTTAACATCCACATCTGTTATGATTGACGGATTGAGCATGTAACATCCTACTTTTAGAACTAAAAAAATCATTGGGACTTAGATAATCTATATAAAGGATATATAAGTATTTTTGAAGGACTTTGTAAAAAAATTAACTTAAATAGGTGAAGTATTCTAATATTTATATATATAAATATATATATATATAGACACACATAA